CGGGGGGGTTCCGTTTGGCTTTGGTCAGTACCCCACTGAGGAGAAGCGCTGGTCTTGTGGCGCGTCAGGCGCCATGCGCTTACGTTATGCGGGAAGCTTTGCACGGTCTGCCAGGAGGGGGGGGTTCCGTTTGCTTTGGTCAGTACCCCCCCTTTGGGAGAAGCGTCGCCTTGTGGCGCAGCATCACGGACTAGCTTGCGTATTTGGAAATGCATTGCACGCAACATGCATTGCTGACATAAGATTCCATGTACCTCTTGCAGTGGACAAGTTCCACTTCAAGAAGAACCATGTGGGACGGTGGTGCGCTGAGAACACAAATCCTTACAAGCACCCGGAGTTGGAGGCAGCGAACATGCCGGTGTGTGAGCAGAGGTTCAAGTGGTGGGGCCAATTTAGGAACTCACTCAGGTGAGGACACCTGACTTGTCATCGTCGAAGCATACCAACAAGGTCGGCAGCATCTGTACCAGCAACTCAATGTCCAGGACAAATATAACAAACAATGCAACTAGCGGCCCTATCCTTCTCGTCCAATCATGCTACGTTACCACGAATGGAGGATCGACTTCTATCAGCACTAAGAACTGTTTATACAATTCTGCTGAGGTACATGTCCGAGCATAGGTTCCGGTTCATGATCCTAGTCATCACCAAGCTTGACCACCTGAAGCGCAACATGGAGCAAGACCGGCAGCTGCGGGCACTGGATGCGGCCCATGCTACCTCCTGCCCGCGTCTCCTAGGACCTGCTACAGCTACACCAAGTCCACTGCCCTGACAGGTAAGCTCGTTCAGTTCACTCCATCTCCATTTCCTGGCCGTCAGAAGCACGGGACGAGTTGCCGGGGTCCGAGTTGTCTGAGTTGCTAGCAGTTGACGGCTTCCTGGACAGAAAGGGGAGGTGCCGTTCAGTTGAGTTAGAAGCAGGTCCGTCGCTTTGAGTTAAAAAGCCGGTATGCAGAAGTCGGAGATATAGTTGCTCGTACTTCGATTCACGAGGATGCTGCTCTGAGATCAAGGGTTTCAGAACTCACATGTTCTTGCGAGCGCGTGGCGGGAGGAACGCGTCCAGAGTCATTCCAATGCGGGACAGGTTGTTGATCAGCTGGATGTTCTCCTCCTCGGTCTTGGGGATCGTCTTAATGAACACGTCCTGCGTTTGTTTGCTGATCTGGCCCTTGACCATCTCCTTCACCGAGCCGAAGTAGTGAGCGGATTCGTCGTCCTTGGAAGAGATGTAGTCAAACACTTCCTTGATCTCGGTGTTGTTGCCCTGCGTTCTCTTTCTTGAAACTTCGATGCGGCTGATCGTCTCGTCTGGGAACGCCTTGAAGAGCCTCTTTGCTTTCATGTCCAACTCGTTCTGCAAGAGTGCACCACATTAACGGTGACTTTCAAGAAGTCGTACATCAGCTGTCGATTTTGAAAGCAAACCTGGCTGCGCGCAGACGCAGATTCTGGAGGTGCGAATCGCATATAGCAGCAATATCTAGACCGGCAAAAGTGATAAGGTCGATCCGCGCTTACCAATTGGTCTTGGGCGTCGTCGTCTTGCCAGTCGTCGTCGTCGTCGTCATCTTCTTTCTCACGGAGACCAACCTGCTTCCAGCCGAGGACTTTGCTGCAGACCTTGTTGACCTCTCGATCATTCTCAAACTCGATCCTCTGCCTCGTGCTCAGGTTCACGAAGTTCCAAGCCTGCCGCACGTCGTCTTCCGTGATGAGGAAGGAGTTGGGGTCTTCGACCAGAGTCTCGTAAGCAGGATCAAGAACCAGGTTCATTGCTCTAAAGATTGCAGAAGTCTGTAGCACCTCGCCCTTTGCCTTGGAGATGATCCCTGCACAGAATCATACGCCTAAACTTCTTGCTTCTGTGTGCGGCTACCCAGCAATTTCAATTTATCACGGTCTTTGACTTGTCCAATCTGTATCATTCCAAGGATCATACATTGATGTAAGAAGCACATTTCCACGAGTCCCCGCACAGAGATTTGTCAGAGACCTGTTCCTGAAGCTTTCAAACGCTCACTGGTTGAGGAAAGTCGTTCTCACCGGCCTTGTGAAGCAAGTCCTTCTCGTACAGCGCTCGCAAAACTTTTTGGATGTTGTCGAAACCCTCCCCAAAAACTTGTCGAGCGGCTCCTTGAAGTGTGAAGGTGGTCATGGCCTTGTCCTCTTCCAGGCTGTGTGTCAGCCAGTACAGCCGGTACATGAGCTGTATACCACAAAACAAAGCTGATCAGCAAGTTGAACGGGTTAAAGTGGTTTGAAAGTACAGACGATGGCATGAAGACAAGTATCGAACGCAAGGCGTCAAGTTGCTGATGGAGGATCCGACGCCTTACTCTCTGCATGATGTCGTTGTCCTGGTCGATAGCTTGCTTTTGGTCTGATTCAATGCACAGCTGGCCTGCAGAATATTCGTCTCAGCGTTAGAGTGTTTCTCGTTGCAGGCGAGCTGCCAGATGGGATCCTCTCAAGTCATCGTTACAAGCCACGTGCACCTCGCAGCAATGTTTCACACGTCATACGTCATACAGGTGAAGATCAGAATAAAGTTCTCCTGGAACTTACTGAAATCTGGAAACTCGGGGGGGGGGAAGACCATCTGCCAACGGTTCATCAAACCGTCGTTGGGAGTCTTGCTGAGCTCCCTCTCGAGCGGCTCCGGCTGAGTGAACCCTCCGATGCACACATGCGTGTACTCGCAAGTCTTGCTCTCGTTGTCGTTGACCAGCTCGCGAGTCCAGCTGGAGCCCCCCTTCAGTTGCAGAGCTCGAACTCTGTCGGAGTTCCCTTTCTTGTACGCATCGAGCATCTCGAAGAATTGATGTGCTTCTTCGAAGTGTAGCATCCCCGAGTGATCACGAGCAGACAGAATCATTTGGAAGAGCCTCTCGAAGTTCACCTGCACAAACATTCTTTTCCATGTTATGCAGATGTACAGGAGAAGGCTAGATCTTCATCAAGACTTGATTAAAGACGTATCTGCTTCAGGTGTAAATGCTGTTCTAGTTCCAAATCAGAGTTTGGAAGAATGTAGATGGCCTGCGTAGATTCACATACACTTTGTCACACTTAATTGATTGACATGAACCAAGCATTGGTTGTCAGTTATTATTCTCCCTCTATGGAACGTAAGGAAAGCTCACGAAAACCTGTATAGTGAAAATATATAACCTGGACAATGACAACGTTCATGTTATGCTCGCACCAGCCTATACAATCGACTGTACCGCAGCAAGACCAAACCTGGTCGGAATGAAGCATGTAAAAGCAAAATATTAGCCAACACATATATTATTTGGCTCTGGACTGTTCACATTCTGGAGCACATGGTTATTGTTGAACGGATGCAGCATTCACAACTACCATTCAAATGACGATGCACGTACAAGATCAGGAGCAACTTAAAAGATTCACAGTTTAGATATTGGACTCATCGCTCCATCCATCTTGACCTTCAGAAACTTCGTCTCTGACAAAAGCCTTTCCAAGTCGTTTGAGCCTTCCTTGTAAATGTCGCGGTCCAGATGCTTTAGAACATGCTCCTTGATCTCATCGTTGATGATGCCCTCAACCACGTCAACGTTCTTGTCGATCTTGTGGTAAGCCTGAGACTTGCCGAAGCCGCTAGGACCAACACAGAAACCCCAGTGGATCAGGTTGCTTTTCCAGTCCAAGCCTTCAACTACGACCTCCGCGTGTGGTCCGAGAAAGTAAGAAGCACACGTAATCATGGGGATCATCAACATCCAGGAGCTTACGCCGATTCTCTTTCCCATCCTTTGAAGCATCTCCAAGACAGGCGGAGGATACGATAACTTGGCGTTCTCTTCATCAATGATCAAGCAAACATTTCGACACTGGCTCGGGTGGAACCCCTGGTCTCCGAAGCTCGACCTCTTCTGCGGCATCTTCTCAGCTGATCAGCTCGAAATTGGTATCCTGATGAGCAACCAAGATGAATCCTCGGTCGAGTCGATCAAAATGGAAGGGCCTCTTGCGCACAACTACTGCTGATCAACACACATGGCAACGGTGACAGAGCTTTGGTTTTGTGCTCAACACGCGATCCAGGCACGACTTGAGCAAAGAAGGTCGAGAGGAACGAGAAACGGAGCTCCGGCGGCCGTACTCCCGCACCTTGAACTGAGAGATGAAGCGACGCTGGGAAGGAGAGCTGCACTTCGTAACTCAAGAGCTGAGAATGAGCTAAGATTTCTAAGGATCTCGTTTTTATATTGATCAGATCTTCAGGATCTTTGTGCTTATCTCCCAGTCAGACTTTTCAGACTCGTGAATTCGACGGAGAGAGGCTCAGAAGCCTCGGGCTTTGGTCGAGCTGTAGCTCAACTTGTCAGCCTTTGAAAACTTGTCGGCCTATTGAACCCCGAGGTTTCAAGCCGAAGCTAAGAGCGCAGGCGAATTGGCGGCCGCGGTGCCGCGGCGCGACGCACGCCGCAACGGAGTCTGCCTACCTAACGAAATTCGACGCCGCGCGGCCGCGCCTTTTCGCCCCAGGCGACGCGGCCACGCGCGTCGCGCAGATTGCTCCATCGCCATATTGCAAGTCCCTGTTGCAAACGAGCTTCGCTTCGGAGAACATCCATGTAAACCTCGTCCAGCAACATACCGCAATGATGCAGATTCAGCATGATCCCCGCAACCCTCAAGGCGCCGAAGCCGTAATCAACAAGCGCACCTCCATTGCTTGCGGTAGGAATGTTAGAACCTGACACAGGGCCGATCTAAGAAATGGAGGAAAATCGGAATGGAAAGTCCTTTGTGCGGCCAAGCATTCGAGAAGCTATGCGCAAGAACCGGGACCAGGCAATTTCTGACATGCCTGGGTTCAATCTGCTCAACGACCGACTCGTCCTCCGCTATTTCAAGACCTTGAATGAAATGTACGAGTTTGCTGACAGTTATTTTGATGCCGAGAATCTCCTTTTTCTGGCCAGGCAAGACCCACAGTTTGGCTCATACAAATACTACGCAGTCACGATCGAAGCTTTCCTTAAAAGGTGAGTCCTCGCACAGCCTGCAATAGCTGTCTAGACAGTAAGCAGAGATATATACCACAGGCCTGTCCTTGGAGTCAATATGTTTCTTATCAGCCGGTTTATATTTTGCACACTTTAATGGATACTCGAGGTTCCACCAATTTTGCTATGATGCTTCTAGGACTCGACAGCAATATTGAATCTTTGAAAGGGCCACAACAGGCTGACAATGAACGTCTGATCTGACGCAGCTTTGGAGCCAATCGTGTGCAATGGCAACATACATACGAGATCTTCCGGACGGTGAGCTCTCCAGCTCGGACGTTCTCTGTTTTAGAACTGAAGACTCGGCCCAAGCTCGCTGCTGACAATTCGAGGAACGTGATGTAAGCATTCTCAGACCCCCGCTCAAGGGCCTCTTTCTCCTCGAACAGGGACGCCGCTGCCAGCTATTCTTCGACGTGGAGTATATGAAGGGGCTCAATCCGGGTCTACAAGCAGACTCTCTTGTGGACAGCCTTCTGTCAGTGACTGAAGAGTTGTGCAGGGAGACCTATGGAACTGGGACATGGAGAGATCGAATTGTCGAGCTTGATGCATCCTACGCCAGTGAGCACACTTGGACCTCAAAGAAGCTATTCAGAAAGCAAAGGTTTTGAATCACAGAAGCTGGCGATGATTCTTATCAATCTGGACAGAAAGAAACATGGCCCCGAATTGAAACGACGATTTCCAATGCGATTGAAACGCACTGCATACGAATTCTGCAGGCAAGTTCAGCCGACACCTCATCATTCCCATCTACGGAAGGTGTTTCGCGAATGTGCACCAAGAAATGCGGGGCTTCGTCCAAAAGGTCGGTCACATCGGGATGTGGAACTTCCGTCTTGTGCAGAACCCCAGTATCTTGTCTTGACCAGCCTGAGGGTTTGTTCGTTTTCATCCCAGTAGTGGCGTCAAACAACAAGTAACTTACTACAACCGTCCCGTGTCCTCGAATAAGGACATTGTCCTCGATTAAGGACACAAAAAATCGCCATACTGCCACGTCATTAATTGACACGTGGCAGTGATTCCGAGTTGGTTATGGGTTTGGCCCGAACATATCGGACCTCTGGACTTCCGCAAAAATGTGATTTCGGTCAAAGTCAAAAATATCCCCTCTCTAGCTGCAGTGCTGTGCTTTGGCCTCCAGATCAGGGCACACATACTATCATTGGGGTCTTTCAAGCATACCAATTGGGTTCTTGACATCAGAAGGGGCGCAAATGGGCTGGAAAACGTTGGGAGGACATGGCAGGCCCCTCTACTCCCTCTGCTTTGGACCGTCATGCACCTGGATTAGGTCTGCTGGTGTTTGTGAAGGCTACCCACTTTGGGGAGCTTTGGGCTAAAAATGAGTTTGGTGATGAATGGGACAGCAAGCAGCTCGCAGGCACTGTGACAGAGTACAAACATTCCAGAGGGAAAACTCCCGAGAAGTGGGGTTTGCTGTTTGAAGGGGACAGCCAGGTGTACTGGTTCACCAAAGAGTTGTTAGTTGAGGCGGGAGTGCCCCCCAGACTGCTGGAGTCGGACACGGGCAGCGCCCAAGCTGGGGGTCCTGGAGAGTTGGACCTCAGAACACCGTTGAGCAGAGGCAAGTCTAAGGTGGTGGACGGCAATGAGGAAGAAGTTGTCAGGCAGCCACGTAAGAGAGCAGCAACCAGGCCCTCGTTCCGCGACGACGCCACGGACTCAGACGACGAGGATGAGTCCAATTCTGATGAGGTAGATGGGACCAGTGAATCAGATTCTGAGGGTGGTGCTGAAGGGGCAGCTGCATTGCCGCTTGGGGGCAGAGGAAGGGGCCGAGGCCGTCCTCCGGGCAAGAGGAATGTGGTCTTTCAGAAGCGGGCTGCCAAGAAGCATGGGAGACAGCGGGTGTCCAAGAAGCTTATGGATGGAGCGTCGAGCGGTGATGAAGATGGGCTCAGCGATGAGGAGCTTGCTGAGGAAGGGGTTGGGCCTTTGGACAAGGAACCTGAGGCAGCCGCGGGGCCCTCTGCAGAGATGAGCTGGGAGCAGGTTGCGGAGGGGGATGTGCTTGAGGACGTGCAGCCCCCCCCATTCACAGGGCCAGCTTCACGGGTAAAAAACCTTCCCGGCCTGGCCATGCTGACGCCGCTGCAAGTCTTTTTGATGCTGGTTCCCCTGAGCTGGTGGACCTTTGTGGTCGAGCAGACCAACCGGTATGCGGCTGCAAGCAGAGGGGAGCAGGGGCTGCCCGAGGGCAGCGGACGAAGCTGGAGCCCTGTGACGCTGCAGGAGCTGCTGTCCTGGTTTGGGTTGGTCTTTGCTATGGCACTGCATCCGTTGCCTGCTCTTGCGCACTACTGGAGAACGGGGGTTCAGGGGGCTGTTCGCTTTCCGGGCTTTGGTAGTTTCATGTCGCAGAAACGCTTTGAGCAGATCAAGCGGTATCTGCATACTAACGACAATGCTCAGAGACCCCCTGACAAAGCCACTCGCGAGCACCGGCTGTGGCACATTCTCCCCCTGCTCAATCTTCTGGAAGAGACGTTTGCAAAGTTCTATACCCCCAACCAGCATGTAACCTTCGATGAGCGGATGATCCCTCTGAGAAATAGGGGCTGCCCTTGCCGAATCTATAACCCCAAGAAGCCCCACAAGTTTGGGGTTGAGCTTTTCTGCGCCGTAGATGCGGAGACGTTTTACTGCTTCTTCCAGTGGGTTTATGACAAGATCAAGGTTGCGGGGGATGGGTTGCACGACATGGTCGTGCGGAAGTTGGGTCAGAGAGTCCCCAAAGACAAGGGGCACGTGGTCATCCTGGACAGGGGGTTCACTGGTCCCCTGCCCCTTCGTGCTTTGAAAGAGGAAAACCTAGCTGCCACGGGGACGTGCCTGCCAAACCGGAAAATGTTCCCCAAAGAGATGCTGCAGCTGAACAGCAAGGCAGAACGGGGTACCATGAAGGCGGCTGTTTGCGAGGAGGACGGGATGGTGGCGGTGGCTTGGCAAGATAAGAAACCCGTCTTCTTTCTCTCCACTTGCCACGGGTTGAGCATGGGGGAGACCGGTCGGAGGGTTGCAGGAACGAGGGAGGAAGTGCCCTGCCCTGAGATTGCGTTTGAGTACAACAAGTACAAAGATGCGGTTGATCAGTTTGACAAGTCTTGCTTGGGGCAGAATTACAGCCTTGAGATGGAAGTTGTGTCTCGGAAGTGGTGGGTCAGGGTGATTTTGGGGTTGTTGGACGGGGCAATGCATAACGCATACGTGTTGTATCACGAGGCGCACCCGGAAGTCAGCCGCTTTGACTTCATGGTTACGTTGCAGCAGCAGTTGGTCGAGAACACTTTTGACAACCTTCCCGGCGCCAACAAGAGGGGGCGGTCGGGGGGGGCAACCACAACAACGGGGTCGGAGGAGGGGCACTTCTTGCATAGGGTGAAAGGGGCCTCCAACCGGTGCAGGGTTTGCTATGCTCGAGAAGGGAAGTCGGGCACGAAGGTGAACATGAAGTGCGGCACGTGCGGGATTTTCTTGTGCCCGGGCGCGTGCAACGTTGATTGGCATACGTCCTCAGAGTTTGCGGCTAAGAGAAGGAAGTTGAGTGGCTAGTTAGGATGGTCTAGAACGAAACTGGTCGCAAACAGAATTTCTGCGCGTCAGCAGTACAACAACACGTGTCGTATTTATTGTGACAAAACAGAGAGTTGACGGCCGAAATTGAGGTATGTTACTTGTAAGTATGATATGTAGATAGGGTGTGTTTGATGGCTGCTAGTTTCAAAGTTTCAATCGTGTGACAAGTATGAAATCTGCCTCCAATGGCAAATCTGTATGAAATCGGCGTACGTCATGTACTTGCATACGTGTGTGTGTGTTGGAAACCCAAAGAATGTGGTGCCTAGGTTCATATATAGTCTTCATATATCATACTTGGAAAGTGTAGTAAGTTGCACACCTATTCATAATGGTTTACTATTTATTTGAAGTCGATATGGTCAAAATGTCCTCGATCCAGGACATTTGGGTGCACCACTCATTTCCAGAAACTGCTCTGTGCAATAAGATGTAGTCCTTATGAGTCCAAAAACTAATTCAATGTCAAAAGCAAGTTGACATCTGTGAAAAGATGTATTGAGGCTATTTCGGAACCAAATATAGAGGTCTACATCGTTGGTTTGCTATGGTTGACATGTATAAATATCGTGTCCTTAATTAAGGACAAAACTGGGACGGTTGTAGTGTTAACGCTTTCCAGGTTTCATCCGAGATTTATCGACGGGTAGAGTCAGGTGACGAAGCCTGCAAGAGACTCATCGTCCAGCAGGGACCCGGGCTTGGTAACACACTCATCATAGACCAAGGGGTGTACACGAAGACACGACATCTGAGGACCATCTTTTCGACCAAACCGGACGGACCCGGTGTCCCTTTCACGCCCACCTGCAGGCTTTTCAAAGAGCAAGTAAGTTACGTACACGTTCAAAAGAGGACCTGGACTTTTTTTTGCGCTTGACAGGTTTGAAGCTTGAAAGGAGGAAGCCCTAAATGGTGGTAAATCCAACCTTTTCATCCGTTCGGTCTCTATTTCCTCCTCGCAGAACATCACCAAGCAGATCACGTGGTCCTTCGCATCCCTGGTGCCGGTCTACAGCAAACCACTTCCGTCTCTTCTACAGCAACAGGTGCATGATACATCCCTCTAGAGCTCTTTCCAGCCAAGTCTCAGGCAAGCGAAGGCGATAGCAGATCCAGAAAATGTTGCATACGGAACGCTAAAGATTGCAAGTAATATTCTGCCAGTACGAACCGCGTACTCATCCAGAAAACGCGTGCTGAACATGGTGTCCTGCTTCGCTCACGGCAGGTGATTCCTCACGAAGAACAAGGAGCTGGCCCGGGACCTTCGACCACTGGACCAATCGAGATGGGGAACCAAAAGGGATCAATCTTCATCCAGAGCCTAGAAGACTATCTGACGGCTTCTGTTCGGGAAAGCTCCAATGCTCCAGGCACGGACAGACAATACGCTGCACTGATACCTTTGATTCTTTCAGTATCTTACAATCGTCCCGATCCTTCTGAATATCGTCAAGTTCTTTCAGCGCCATTCACCGTGTGCAGCTCAAGCAGAGTGCTCACACGTGACTGCAGATCAACCTTTCGTTCGAACTTCACTTTTTGTGAACATGCAGGAGCATTTATCTCATCTCGCTTCCTTGTAAACGAGGGATTCTTATCCTATTCGATCAGGGGAACAAAGTTCTGCTTCAACGTGAACCGAAACCATATGCAGAACAACGGTGAGAACCGCACCAATCCGACGTTGCGGCCTCTATTCAGCTCAGCATTGCGAGATGACTATCGCGTTCATCCATTCAAACGAATATTTGGCTTTCTGACAGACGATTATCCTAACGAACACGAACTCTTTTTGCAGTCTACATTGTCGTCGATCTTGAGCGAGGCATCTACTATCAAAAATGTCACGATGCTGCATGTAAAGGTAAAGTACCTCTACAAAAGCTCTGCAAGCAGAAGAATAAGCGACTCGCAGAGCAGAACGCGTGAACCTCTTGCCACGTTTCATATCGACTGCTTACAATCGTCTCAGAGCTGAAGGTGAAACTTTTGGTTTGCAGCTATGAAGTACAGGTCGGCTTTCGCAAATCTTCCAGAAGATCTACTGACAGAAACAAGGGCCGCAGTACAAAAAGTCACGGAACAGAGCTCCTCAAAGAAATCTCGGACGTGGGGCGAATTGGACGATATAGACCCGGACTTTGCGGATGCTGTGAGTCGCAAAGAACCTCACACTGTTCCATTTACCAAACTCTGATGTCTGATAGCCTCACGAACCCACCTTCAACAAAGACGAAACAATGCTGCAAGTACATACATTCCACTGCGAGTCGTAAAGGGGAAAAGGCGTTCAAAGCTCCTTCTCTCCATCCAGGCTTTGAAGCTCCTCGAAGAGGTCGAAGAGCCACTGAGCAAGAGACCGAAAGAAGAACCCGCTCCTCAAAGCCAGGTGAAGACTACTGCTCCCGTCTTACTCAGTCAATACCTTTCAGAATCTTCCACGAACAGGTCCAAATCCCGTGCATTTCAGAGGTGCACGTTTTGACTCAAGTCGATTTTTGCAGATCAAAAACATTCTTTCTAAGCTGGACGTCAAGAACTCGGCCTCCTCGGCCTCCGGCAACTGGATGCCAAAAACACCAGAGGAGTTCGTCTTTCCCCGAGTGAAAGTGAGCAGAAGTTTGACTCTTCCACCAAAGCTGTCTATTTAACCAACGCTCTTGAGCCGTTTAAAACGAACTCCGAATGATGAGTCAGGAACTGTGTTATTTGCATCTGTGGTATACGTCACTGAGCTACGTCTCGGCTCCTAGCGTTTGCTCTTACAGATCAGATCGACCAAGTTCTAACACTGGTCCATCAATATCCGATTTCGATACGTCTATCTACGCTAATCCTCTGCATCCTCTCTGCTGCCTTTCAGACCGACCAGAGAGGCAAGGAAGGCTACACGCAGCCGGTTGATGAGCCCTCCGGTGACGTGATGGCGCGCGACAAGTTGCTTCCTAACTTTATGGCTCGGGGCACACGCAGACGGCCCAGGGGAGACTCCTCGGATCCCGGTAGGGACACTGAACCGGTGAAACAGCCCGTTGGTGCCGACGAGACGCAGGGGGAAGGCGAAGACGACGAGGTAGGCGATACGGAGGCGGCCGGGGGAGAGACCGCCGACGGCGGCGGAGACGCGCACCCGGTGGAGCAGG